TTAAGCTCAGAGGTGGCAGGGCCTTCTCTGTAGCAGGACCAAGACTTTGGAACGAGTTACCTCTGTTTGTCAGACTGGCCCCCTCCCTCTCGGTTTTCAAATCCCTTTTAAAACTCACTACTATTCAGTAGCTTTCAACACCAGAGGATCTGTGTTTATAAACCTGTATGCTCCACGCTGGTTTGTCGTCACGTTTGTTATCTGCATCGTTTGTATGTCTATATTTTTGATTTACTTCATTTTGTAAATTGCTTCGTGTGTTGTCTGTTGTTCTGTCTGTACAGCACTTTGGTTGGCCTTGTCGCTGTTTTAAGTGCTCTATAAATAAAAATGGCATGGTATGGTATAAAAGCCAATTAGTAAAGGTTGTCATTCATGTGTACACCCAAGTACTTGTAGCTGGAGACCACTTCCACCACAGATCCTCTTATGTTCAGGGGGGTGTAGATGTTTTTGTTCCTTCTGAAGTCCACAATCATCTCCTTTGTCTTCTTCACATTGATGTGAAGGTTATTCTCTTTGCACCTGCTCTCCAGGTGTTCCACCTCTTGCCTGTAGCTGGACTCATCATTGTTTATGATGCATCCCACCACCGCTGTATCATCTGCAAACTTTACAATGTGACAGCCTGGATGGGTAGCTGCACAATCATACGTGAGCAGAGTAAACAGGAGGGGGCTCAACACACATCCCTGAGGCGAGCCAGTGCTGAGGGTTATGGTGGAGGAGGAGAAGTTGTGGATCCTCACTGACTGTGGTCCGTTTGTTAAGAAGTCTAGTACCCAGTTGCAAATGGAGGGGCTTAGTCCTAGTGTGAATAGTTTGTCCATCAGGGTTTGGGGGATCATGGTGTTGAAGGCAGATGTGAAGTCCACAAAGAGCATACGGACGTAAGAGTCTTTCTGCTCCAGGTGGTTGAGCGCAGTGTGGACCACAGAGGAGATGGCATCCTCTGTTGATCGGTTCTCGTGGTATGCGTACTGATGAGGGTCCTCGTTGATGTTGATGGTTGTTTTGATGTGAGTCATGACCAGTTTTTCGAAGCATTTAGCGACTATCGGGGTGAGGGCCACTGGCCGATAGTCATTCAGACCAGTCACTGTAGAGCTTTTTGGGACTGGGATGCTGGTGGCAGTCTTCAGGCAGGTGGGAACTGTCTCCAGGGTAAGTGAGGTGTTAAAGATGTCTGCCAGCACCTCGCAGAGCTGATTGGCACGTTCTTTATAAGACTGAGTTTATTGCAGTTTCTCGGACTGATGAAGTCCTTTGGATGAAAAACAAAACATTTCAACAAAAAGAAACCATCCAGAGGACCTGGCAACTTTGTCAGTGCAATATGAAGGTTTTTTTTTATTATTTTTTTTATTTGCTTGACAGAATTTCTTTTTGTTTTTGAAAGATGGTTTCAAGGTAGTTGACTCATTGCAGTATTGTAAAGACAAGATAAAAAAAATTAACTTTATAAAGTAAGAAACAAAATCTGCACATTTATTTCTCTAACCAAAAGGTTAGTGGGGGAGTGGTAGTGCAGAGGTTAGAGAAGGTGGGCCTGCGATCGAAAGGTTGCCAGTTCGACTCCCTGGACTGAAATCAAAATGTGGGTGGAAAGTAGAACACCCACACCTGCCTCCACCCTCATTTGCCCCACTCTGGGCCCTTGAGCAAGGCCCTTAACCCCCCCACCATCTGCTCCCAAACAGGTCCCTCTTGAAAACAAGTCCTTGTGATTCAATGAGACTACCTGTATAAATAAAAGTTAAATGAACAGTGTCCTTAAATAAAAAAACAATTATTATTTGTGGTGAAAAGCTGCCATTATGTGTGTTTGTTTATCTGAACAGCTGAAGTGACTGAAAATAGGTAAAATGAAAAAAGAAAAAAGATGAGATCTGTGGAAAAGCTGTTTAGGATGTAGACGTCTGACAGTTTTGATGTATTGATACTTTTTTAAAATCAGATTTGTTAAATAAAATAGACTGTTTACACTGACTGCCTACCCACATTTGATCAATTTATCAATATTCTTGGAAATCTACAGGAGTGACTGTTTTAAAATTGCACCATTTGTTCAGAATAATCTTGTTTGTGTGTGATTTGATGTTTTCAGTGAGTCCTTTTAAAACTTGATCTCATCAAACACAAACATAGAGTGAGAATTAAAGGTTAAATTAACTACATGTTGTCCATCTGAAGGAAAGTTTCTTGGAAACCAATTCTCTTTGTAATTTACTACCAATCAAGAAAAATAGCAGAGCGCTCAATTAGTACAATTCCAGTTAATCAAGTCCAATTATTGCAAGAACGTCCTCAGGAGTCTTTCATCCAGTAAACATAACATCAGCAGTTGGTTGAATTAAATTGCCTTTAATTGCACAACTGTTCCTTGAAAATGGTCGGTGTGCGTCTACATTGTGCTACAAAGTCTCCGGACGTGGCTCTAATTTAAAAAAATAAAAAACATCTTGGAACAGAACACGTAAAGAGCAGCTGCACTGGTTTACAGAGCTAAATGTTAGCTTCACAATAAAGACTAAAATTATGTTCAATTACTTTTTTTTTCTTCCATTTTTTATCGCCTAACTTTTTCTGTTTAGGTAAAATTGGATATATAATTTTGTATAGTAGGTTACAACTGATTTATAAAAGGCTCATAAGTACATTTTATTCCCTATTACAGATATTAATAATAACATATGTTATATAACATAATTCATATTTAGAACAGCACTGCTCCCTTCTTCACGGGTCACAGTGACCTAACTCGCCCAAAGACATGTACACAGGATGCCCTTCCTGACTTGACCACTGAGCTACCACATCCCTTTGTGTGGAGCAGAGAGCTGCCATCTAGGGTGCTCAGGGGAGACGATATTAGGGTTAAGGGCCTTGCTCAAGGGCCCAGAGTGGGGCAAATGTGTGTGGAGACAGGTGTGGGTGCTTCACCTATCCCACCCACATTTTGATGTTGTCAGTCCAGGGAGTTGAGCCGGCGACCTTCCGATCGCAGGCACGCCTTCTCTAACCCCTGCTCCACCACTCACTCTTTTTAAAATCAAAGTCTCATTCTCCAGTAAAGAGAAGAAATTTAGTAGAAATATTCAATGTGCAGTGAAGCAGGATTATTAAGGAAGGTTTCATCAAGGTCAAGAATCCAATTACTAAAAAAAAAAAAAAAAAAAAAAGACCAAAACAAAATTCCATAAAACTTTAAGAACGTGGACATGTGTAGAGTCAAATGTAGAGAGGAAGCATGCAGCAAGATGAGATAAAGTTTAATGTATGAAGAGCAACAAAACATAAAGAGCATTAATGTTCCTGCCGGTCATCGGGTGGAACTATTTTTCAGTGGATTGGTGAATTCAGGTTCTTTACAGGCGCCGAGCTGCAGAAGTCATGGAGCCACATCTGATTTAAAGGGACAGCCATGACAGAAAAATGTTCAGACATTCGACCATCACTTCAGTTCTGTTTCAATTAAACGTGACGGGGTGGACTCGGTAAATCTTCGTGACGCCTCTTAGCCGCTGAGACGTTTGCCTCTTATCTCGCTCTCCTCGTCTCCACAGTCTAATTGTCCTGAGTAAAGGTCAACGTGTCTGTGATTTTCCTCTCCGCTGTCACCGAACACGTCCTGTAGTCAAGTGCTTATTAGCTCTGGCCTTTAGCTCCAAAAAGATCAGCATGAAGCGCCGGCAGACCGACACCGATTCATTTTCACTGCGTTTTTACCACATTCACCAAATAAAGGAGAAACTGAAACATTTATTCTCACACACACAAGACAATCTGATATCGTCTAAACATTTTAAAACGATCAATAAGGTGATTTTTACAGACAGCAGACCACAAACCCAGTTAGTCTTTGATGTTATGGAGCAAATTAACAGAACATTAAACTTTATTTAAAAAAAAAAAGTAATGTTTTTTATACAGTATTATGCTTTATTGTATAAAATGCATAATTGATTTTTGTGTTTGTTTGTTTTAGAAGAATAATTGTACACTGGAAAACGCAAACAAACCAAAAACAAAAAAGTAAATTGTAAAAAAGGAAAACGTGTTAAGTTCTTGAACTTTTACAAATGAGTTTGTGAAAGAATATTGAAGGATGTGAGAACTGAACTTGGTCTTACTGTGTGTTTACTTGTGTATAAATTCCCCTTTTGCAGAGACAAAACTAAAAATAGAGGCTAAAGAAGCATAAAATCCACGTCTGACGCAGGGGTGGTTCTAGGATCTGACCTTTAGGGGTGCTCAGCCCCCAGTACTGACTGTGGCTCTTGGCTTGAACAACACACAACACACCCTACGGTGGGGGTTTTGAGAAGTGCCAAAGTTTACAGCGTCTAGTATTCCCAGGCGGTCTCCCATGGACTAACCGACCCGGTTTAGTTTCCGAGATCAGATGAGACCGGGTGTGTTCAGCCTGGTATGGCTGTAAATGAGGAGCTCAGTCATAAACAGGACTTTTAAAGGATCATGGCAAACAAAATATAAACTTATGCAGCCAGAAGTTGCAACAGATAATAAATCACACAAAACAAAACACAACTAGCTTCAAGCATTAACCTTTAATTTAACCTTTAACCTCTGACTGCAAAGTGTTTGTAATGCAAACCCTCGACAATGTTGATGGATGAAAAAAAAAGGGGTGTTTAACTTCGGGACAAATTGATCTAATCGATAGGTCATTTGCTGACGATCATACTAGACTGATTGACAGGTGGTGTTTAGGATCTGACTCGTGTAAAATAAGAAATAAATCATAGATTTTACTGGCCCATTTCGAGTGTCTATAATTTAAAGTGTGTTGATCTGAATCTGAGACAAAACTGATCATTGCTCCTCCTCATTGCTGATTTTATATATATTTTAAACTCATGTAAAGCATCTTTGAGTACTTAGAAAAGCGCTCTACAAATAAAATGTATTATTATTATTATTAAAGTCTCTAAAACTTTTTGTTTGTAATTTAACATATGATTTTTTTTCCCCTGCAGGAGCTGGAGGCTGGTCTCCTCTCGCCTCAGACAGGCATCAGTGGCTGCAGGTGGACTTGGGTGAGCGGACCAGGATCACTGCCGTGGCCACGCAGGGCCGCTACGGCAGCTCTGATTGGCTGACGTCTTACCTGCTGGTGTTCAGCGACACGGGACACAACTGGAAACAGTACAGACAGGAGGACAGCATCAGGGTGAGTCCACACTGAAGTCCACAGGCTCAAACAACATTAATAAACGAGTATAAAGGAAAGTGATCCGACTCATCAACAGCATCATACTCATATTTATAGTCAATCTGGTGTTCAACAGGGCCAGTCTGCAGGGGTCAGCTCATCCTGCACAAATCATCAGTCATCGGGAGCCTTTGATCATCTTTAATAATGCATGTAGAAAGCTCTGCTGACTGAGCCGGCCTGTTGTTGAAGAGGCTGCTCTGAAGTACCGCCTGGTTGTGTCTGCGAGCTGTGCTGTTCATCTGGACCCACAACTGGAGTGCTTCATGCACAGGTTCAGACTGTCAAAAGCACAAAGTGACTTGAAAATGGTTTTGTCTGTACAGCAGAACACAACCAGCATTATGCAATGCACACGTCATGTCTGATTTTGTTTAGAGATGTTATGTTTAATATAAGACACAAAGTCTGTGCAAAGAGGGTTATGCTACAAACAGTTTTCTTCATTATTTGGATTAAATAGTTTCTGTGGAAACATAAATCCAGAGCCACATGCTTACTGCAGCTTCAGCAATAAACACGTGATTTAGTGTGCTTCAGGTGCATTTTATGTATCGTTTATGATGAGTATGTCCTACAATATCTGTTAGATTTAGACTTGTCTGGTAGAATATTGAGGTGCATTAAATCTGGAACGAATATTTGCAACAAAAATCACAAGTTTTACCTTAAAAAAACTCAATTTAGAAGATTTTTAGCTGGTTCTTGTTAGTTGGTCTGTTCAAGATTTATGAATATTTATGAAAGTGAAGTAACTGATCACTTGTTTAAGCTCTTAGTCAACTTTTAGAAAAAAATGATTGTTTGATACATTCCATCCGTCCATCCATCCATCCATCCATCCATCCATCCATCCATCCATCCATCCATCCATCCATCCATCCATGCATCCATGCATCCATCCCCTTTCTGGTTCAGCTGGTTTCCATCTCCCCCAGTCACTGTGCATGAAGACATGTTGCAAGCTCATCACCAGGACACACAGAGACAAATGAGACAAACACATTTCTGTCATTATCTAACTACAAACAAGTCATTCTACTTTGTTGTCTAGTCAAGTTTCAGTTGTGTTTTATCCATCAATATATTTGGACAAAATTAATACGGCTGCTGTCAAAGCCCAAAGTAAAGATAATTATCCTTGTTATTATTAGAGATATTTTACTTGTCTAAAAATTAAAAAGATTTGATTACCAAAGTTTTGGTCGAGATTTTCAGATTAACTTTTGAGCATTTAGAAATGTTTACATCCATTTTCATTATATCGGCTACTTGGAATAAAAACATTAGACATAAAAGAATAAAAATAGGATTCTAGTTGGTAGGAAAGTTTGTTGTCATTAATGCTCTTGTTAGGGTTTTAAACTAATTCTATATATTATTGAAACCGGCAACAGATGGGATCACTGTCCATTCCGTTGGTTGTTTTGGGATCTAGATGGTCCAAAATGCGTCCTGAAGCTCCCAACTGGAACAAATATGAAGGCAAATGGGAATTTTGTTTGATCATATTTTTATTGCATTCATTAACAGCTACTTTTAGGTCAAGGTCAAGATTTCTTTATTGCCATTCTCATCACATGCGCTACATGTGGTAGAACGACATTGTGTACACAGGGTCCCAGTTACATCCAACAAAAGTATAAATTGTAAAAGAAAAACAGTAATAAGATCTAAGATATGAACTAAGACATACGCTAAACAAAGAATATACTAGTAGCAGCATGAAATAAATCAGCAGCGTGAGATCAGCAGCATGGAGCAGCACATATCAACAATCAAGTGGCATTACAGTGATTTTAGATCTTATTTTAAAGGCTAGAGATCAGAAGTTACTTGTCAAGCAGTCGCAACCAGATTGGATGAGTTTCTCTTGATTTTATGCTGCACTGATTGTTGTTTCATTAAAAAAATGAAATAAAAACTTGCAGATTTTAATTCAAACATGATTTTAATTAAAGGGAGCATTTATGAAGCTGACCAACCACAGATATTCAGAAGAACATGGATGGTGGAAAGGTCTCAAAAAACTAATTCTCTTTAACATTAAAGTCTCTTTTTATCCCGTTCATGCCTGGTTAGGTATCACATGGGTGTTAAATAGTTGGGAAACGTTCCGTTTGTGAGTAAGGAGGAGTGTTAAATCCTGTCGGCCCAGTAAAGCTGGTCAAAATGTATTTCCAGTTACTTTAATACCGGATCAAATAATCCCTCAAGCACGGAAGTAAAGCAGGATGTGCACCCAGCGTGAGCCTGAACCATCATCCAGAGTGAAGTCACATTTGTTGCCTCGCTGCAGAGACGTCGCAGGATTTGGGGTTCTCCGCTGTTTTTCCATAACTTTTGCTTTGCGGCGAGAGCTGAAGCTTTTGAATAAACCGAGCTGAGGCAGTTTCCTCACGTGGAGAGAATCCAGCTAATCTGAGCGCTAAAACGAGAAAAGCCCAAAACAGCTTCTGACAGATTAAAATCGTTTTGACTTGTCGCTCAGAATGAACTCTGCACAATCCCTGCGACATCTCAGAGCGTTCTTGAACTTCTATGAACTAAAGAGTCTGTGAGAGGAGAGGAATCAGACGGTGGCGCAGAGCTGCCGAGTGTTTTCTGCTTTCGGTTTCTGTGGCTCTACTTTTCACATCGTTACTTTCCTCTTTTCAGCCCAGAAATAAATGATGAGAAGCCACTTCCTATTGTTCCTCCAGTCTTACAGTTATGTTTTGTCTGAATAAAGTTACACTGAAACAAAGACGCTGTCAGCTTTATTCAGCACAGATAAAATGAAGACATTTTAAGAATCTCTCACAAGTCTTTAAACTTGAAGGACGTACCCAGCCTTTCAGAGTCTTTGCACCTCATGTGAATCCATCAGTGTTTATAAAAATTTGACGTTTCTCTCCTGCTTTATCCTTTTTGATGCACTGGACCTAAACATACCTGACCAGAAAGAGTTAAATGATGCTGTGGGTCTGAAATGTTTGAGCTTAGATCTCAACAAAAGCCGTTAAAACAAGAGCGAAACATGAAACATCTTAAACGTGCACATGTCCTCTTATCATCCTATCATTGTTGCTCAAGAATTAATAAGTTAATTATTGTCTGTTTCAGCCGTGGGAGTCATTTAACCTCCATGTCGTCTTCAAGGGAGGTTTATAATTATGATAGATGGAGGAGACAGAAAAGAACAAAGACTGCAATTAATAAGACATTCAGCCCAGAGCCTGAAAGAGACACGTTTATGTTCATGCTCTATATCTACTAAAGTGATGAGAAACCATTAAACATTACAGGAAAACATCAAAAATTAATTTGGACTTAAATAAACTTTTAGACTGATTGATTTTGCTCAGAGATGTTCTGAAGAAATGTATGCTTTTATTGCTCTGATCAACTAAACTCATTGTAGCTCAGTGACGAAAGCTGATCGTTCTATTGAGAATGATGAATTCCTTTTCTTTGAGGTACATTAAATAGAACTTAAAGTGTCTGACATGCATTTTCCACACATACAAAAAGTGGAAGAAAACATCTTAAAATTGAAGAAATTTGACATATCACATGACTTTACCCATTTTGTCACATAAATGACATATTTGCTTTTGAACTTTGTGTGGCTTAAGTGAAACAGGAAGTGACATCAAAAGGGAAACTCTTTAAAAACAGGAACTTTCTGGTCTTTGTTTATTCAAAGATTATCTGATTTTTGACTCTTCTTCGCTCTGAAAGACTCAAAAATATTTAAAGAAATATCACATTATTCTCTAGTGGCTGTTTTTAGACATTGTTGTAAGCTCTGTTAACATGCAGGTGTTTCCCTGTGACATCACTTCCTGTTACTGCACATGAAAATACCTCAACAACTGACTGTTTAAATGGTGTGAGATTTCTTTTTGCCATACATTATTAATGTTATCTTTTCAAAAATCCATTCATGTTGGTTTGGAAATTTTGATGTCACAGACACACAAAAAAAATAATAATAATTTAAGACATCATTATCATTTCTCAAGCCTTGATATCTAGCAATGGTATTTTTAATTGTGCAATTTGCATCATCAAATCGCCAAATCATCTAAAAAATGTTCCCCCAATAATAAAAAAAAAAACAGTTAATAATATTTTTCATTTAAAATGAGACGTTATAAGTGCTGCAAAATGAAAAGTCAGAGCATTATGTATTATAACATGGGCAGGATAAAATTATAATGAGGGCTGTCTTTGGCTCACAGGCCATGACTTTAACTTATGTTCCTTAATCTTTGTTTTTAACCTATAAAAAGGACAAAACAATATATATTTTTTTAAGTTGAAAGACTGATGATAAAATGAGTTTAGATTTAAAACATACTTCACCACTTGCTCTTGCCGAGGTCGGATGCTTTTCCCCTCCCCTCCCTCTCCGCTGGGCTTTGCTGCTCTGTCTTGTCTGTGAAACTGCTTCTGAGCTTCTCTCTACATATCTTCTGAACCATAGTTATGACTTGGATTTGGTCAGTTGGTCCCTCAACAGAATTGATAACATTTCTTAGAAGAGATGACAGACTTTAGGCGAGCCGATTTGCCCTGTTTGCACGCATGCAGCTGGATATCTCATTGACTTGGAAGACTTGATGACATGTCTATCTCTGCTGCCATTTGTGGATTTTACGGACATATTTATAACTGGATTTAAGGTAATTGGTTCCTGCTTTTTGGATTTGGCTGGTCCCCGGTTTATCTACAATCAAAGAAGTCGTTGGCAGCAAATTTGGACCCGATCATACTGCTTGCATTATGATGGCTTGGTTTGTGACTCGAGTACCCAGACTCAAATGCTTTTGGCAGAAAGGATCAGATCTCGGGGATTATTCTCAGGCATGGTCCAATGGTGTGGCTATGTGATTTGGACATTTCGGAACTGAGTGGACCAACACAGACTCAAGGTAGATGCCATTAAATGTCTGCCTGTCCCCAAAACAATTGTGTGTTTATCTGAATTTGGCTCCCTTGGCTAGCCTTGCAGGCCACCTTGTCTGAATTCACCTGGAAAACATGTAATCTGATGCTGTGACTGCTAGTGGATTCGAACCCTCAACTCTTGAATTGGAGGACGACTGCTCTAACCACTCAGCCACAGCCGCGCTGAATTGAGTTGAATTGAATTTAAACACACTGTCAGCAATGTTATTTTGCTCATGAACCTGGTAGAACAAAATAAACAATAAATATGCTAATTGTCATGTTGTTAATTTGCTAACTTGGGGTATGGTGGAGCAGAGGTTAGAGAAGGTGAACCTGTGATCGGGAGGTCGCCGGTTCCTCTCCCTGGACTGACAACATCAAAATGTGGGTGGGAAAGGTGAAGCACCCACACCTGCCTCCACCCTCATTTGCCCCACTATGAGCCCTTGAGCAAGGCCCTTGACCCTCACCATCTGCTCCTCGGGCACCATAGACAGCAGGTCCCTGCTCCACGCAGAGGGCTGTGGTGGCCCGGTGGTCTGTGGTTGCGTCAGGAAGGACATCTGGTATAAAAACCATTGTCAAGTCTTAATGTGAGTTAGTTTGCTGAAGAAGGGAGCAGCCGAAAGAAGAAGAAGAAAAATATGTTGCTAACTTCTTTACAAATCCAGTGATGCACTAAAAATGTTGCTTGCCGTATTTAAATTGTCAATTCATGGAGCAAAGTTGAGTCAAATTTGTATAGAAATTTTAAAAGTTATAGATCATGATATGTTTAAAAATATTATTTTCATGTATTTGTGTGTGTTCAGTCTTTTCCAGGTAACACTAACGCAGACAGTGTGGTTCAGTACAAACTGCAGCAGCCTGCGGTGGCTCGGTTCCTCCGCCTCCTTCCTCTGGACTGGAATCCCAGCGGGCGGATCGGACTCCGACTGGAGGCCTACGGATGTCCTTACTGTGAGTGTTGTCATCTCCACTGCGCTCGTTAGGGTCTCTGGGGAGGTTTGCCAGAAAACCTCTCTACAAAATCTCAAGTTCCACTTTTACACCTGAGTTTTATTATGCATCTTTATGAAGGTGGAGTTCAGTTTGGAAACAGTGCTTTACACTCGTGTTTATGAGGTGTACTGAATGTTTGTTGGCTAAAGCTGTGGTAAATTGACATTAAAAGTGCTTTGCTCTGACTGGCTCTGGACTTTAAGTGACAAGAACATAAAGCACATTAAGTATTTAAGCAAAATGCAAATGATATTTTATTGAGAAACAGAGATTCAAATAAAACCCCTCACATTCATTAATCCTAATTCCTAATAGTGAGGAATGACAGATTTGTAGCGATTTTAGTGAAAGCTTTAAAACAACATTATGTCTCATATTGAGATGTGCTCAGAGTATGCGTTGTTAACGACTCTCAGCTACTACCACATCAAGTTGTAGCTCAATATATATAATACTGACAGAGTTGGAGCTATTTATGTGTTGGCTAATGTCAATTTACTGTGGCAGCCATCTTGAATTGTATTGATTCAATTGTAGGTGATCATCCAACGAATGTTTTGTGTAAGTTTTGATAAAATAGGCCCAGAATCAAAATATGTTTTGCTAAAAGACAGAATCTTAATATTAAATGGTGACATTTTCAAAATCGTGTGCGATGTGTTAGTGCTCAGAATATGTGTTGGGGATCAGGCTCAGCTACCGTCACCAAATTTTAGGTGAACATTTGTACAAATATCAGTGTTGAATCCATTTTTCTATTTACTCGTTAGACCAGTTGGTTGTGGCAGCCATCTTAAATTAAGACTCATAAATCATGAGGTATTTTGGTAACAAACACATACTTGCATACATTATTGTCCACTTTTGGCTGTTAAAGGTGGGCAATCCCAAACAAGCACATGTTACCAAACATCCATTTTTTGCTTTAGAAGAAACAATGAAGCCATTTTAAAAGTGTTTCCAAGTTTGTCTTATTTTGCTCCAGTTTTATCACCTTTTAGCTTCTAATATTTGCTGCAAAGTAAAAAAAATAAAAGAGAAAAATTGTGTGAAAAAAGCTTCGTTTTGTCGGGACATGCTTTACACAGACTCAGAACGTTCTTTCTTTGTATTTTGAGGATGCTATTATTATTCACATTTCTGTTGCACTTCTTTAAAAAGGTATTTTTCCTTGTAAACAATGTATTTGTTTTAGGAATGTCACGACTTCATTGTCATTGTGCATTAAAATGACAAAAACATAAACTGAAAACAATATTCAGAGCAGTGTAGTCAGGAGACACAGTGCTGATGTGCTGATTTATGTCCTGAAGCTCCATCTCTGTTGTGATTTTCAGCTTCCGACGTGGTGAGTTTCGATGGCAGCAGCGGTCTGGTGTACAGCCTGGACTCCGGGTCCGGGCGAACAATTACAGACGTCATCACACTGAAGTTTAAAACCTTGAGGAACTCTGGGACGCTCCTGCAGGCGGAGGGTCGGTATGGACAGAACCTCAGTCTGGAGTTAGAGAGAGGGAAGCTCCTGCTGCTGCTCAGACAAGGTACTAATGTCTATTGACTGGTCCTGAGAGGTACAGACATCTTTTCATTGATTCAAACATGTACTGTAGGGGAGCGTTTAATCTGCAGAGTTGGAGGGATCTAACAGCATCTGAACTAAAAGTACTTTTATCAATGAAGGCTTTTGGGTTGATAATGCATTATTGATCATCACGAAGAAAAAAACTGATTTCCACAGTCGGGAGCATAATTTTACCATTGGAGTCACTCGACATAACTTTGAATTAGTTTTTTAATAGATGAGATGGTGAACTCACTCTGCTTCCTGATGAAATGTTGGCGTCCGCTCCGCATCCCAGTTTAGTTCCAGCCATGATGGATGGAGCCCATTTACTGTAGCATGTGTTGGGGCAGGACTCCTCAGGACTTCTGTGTGTGTGGGTGTGTGGTGTGTGTGTGTGTGTGTGGATGTACCAGAGGTTGTCAGGTTGCCATGCTGAATCATCATCATTTGGCTCACCTCTCACCAGGATCCCCATCTGTCCACAGAAATTCTTTGACTCTCCCAACCTCCCCTGTTTTCTTCCCACCTTTAACACCTCTTCGTTCTCTTTTGTCCCATCTGCACCTCTCTGCCAACCTTTTTATCATCCACCACCAACAGCAATGGCACAATGCGATAATGCTTTTGTGCATGTGTCTGTGCGTTGCCAGATGTTGCACTGGACAGAGCATAAAGTCATTTACAAGACAAATAAAAAAACACTGCAACACTGGTATGAAAGGTGGTGAAGGATATGCATTCCTTCAAGAAATAATAGACCTTACTTTCATTTATTTACCCATCTATTGGTCTCTTGACAGCATCAGTGTATGTATGTATGTATATACACGTACATATGCATATACATGTTTATTTATGCTTAGATGTGTATGTATGTATACATAGGTTAATGATGAATGTAGTACTCCCTACCACCTTGTGCACGTTGTCGTCAAATTTGTGTATTCTGTTTCTTTTCTGATTAATTCATGTTTTTTTTCCTGTATAATTGGAATATGCTACTGAATGCCTCAAATATCCACCTGGGATGTTTAAAAGTATTCCATCCATCCATCCATCCACCCATCCATCCATCCATCCATCCATCCATCCATGAATAAGCAATGAGTCAAAACTGACACAATAAACGATGGCCAGAAACTCACTGAAAAAGTCATGAAACTGATTAAAACTCTGTCGTAAAAACAAACAAACAAAAAAAAACAGTCAACGCAATACAGTTTAGTAAACTGCTGGTTCAAAGAAGACAAAAATTCCTTTAATTTGTAGCAGCATTATATTTATTTTATTATTTACATAGATTTAAGCAGGGCTTAATTTGTAAACTGACTGATGCCGGAGCAGCCGGCGAGCTGAGGAGTGGGATGGTTGGGCGGGGGGGGGGGCAGGTTGTTAAACATCTACATTTACCTACATTAAATTACTTTGTTGGAGAGCAACAGCAGGTTGTGTGTGAATAGAGCAGCTCTGATTTTGTCAGGTGTCCTAACCCCCCCCCCCCCCACACACACACACACCACCACCAACACCAACCCTCCCCTGAACTTCTCTTCACTGAATTCAGTCCTGGTTGTTGCTCCTGCTCCAATCTCGAAGTGGCACCGTTTGAATCACCTGAAGGCTTCAATTCTCCGTTGTCAGACACTCCATCCATTTATTTTATGAAAGTGAATTGGACTGATCTTTTTGACATTTTGATCGCTGGTATTTTGACAAATAAGCACCGTTGTTTTGATGCGTGGTTAATGTGAATAACACATCAAACATTTCTCTCATCGTCTTTTTTATTTATTTTTTACAGTAAGCTGTTTTTATTTATTATGTCTGAAATAATAAGAAGTGAACCGTGATGTAGCGAGGGACGACTGTAATTCAAAAGTTGGTGTGTGGAACTGTCAGTTGAACGTTCCATGTAAAATCTGTAAAAATGATAAAAATCTGAACCGATTGTGTAAAAACCATGAATTATAACAAAATACCAGCTCAGACATGTAAAGTCCAACTGGCTGTGGCCCAGTAAAACTGGTGTTTCACTGTGAACTTGCCTGTAGAGCTCCAGAGCAGCTGGGGTTTACTAATGTGTTTTGTCAGAATCTCAATGATCTCTGTTATTCTTTTCTTGCAATTCTTTGCTAATTGTATCTACGATGTGTAATGTACCACTACCAAAATTAACTTTAGTTAATTTTCAGAAATGTATAAGAACAAAACATAAAACAAAGTGCTGTGACAAAAATTTACAAAATGAAACGTTTGAAAAATGAGTTGAAAGAAGCACAAACTTATTTAATCCTTTCACTTCCAACAGTTAAATCACGCTATTCCCAATCCAGCTGCACATTTTGGTGGATAATTTGCATATTTTGTTTTAAAGCTGCGCAGCATAACGATTACCTTTTACAGAACAGTAATAACGGTGCTTCAATGCGTATATATCGAATACGTCTTTGTGTGAAGGTGCTGTGTTTGCAGAGTATATGAAGCTGCACAATGTGCCAACTTTACATTATGTGTGCAAACTGAACAAATTATTTTGTTATAGTTCTCAGACCAGCAAGTTATCATTATCTGGTGTCTAAAGGTCTTGTTCCCAAAGCCCTCCAAAATGTGAACACATCAAAAAGAACAAACTGGGGAAATAAAAGAGGTGGGAGTTTTTCCCCTGGAGCGAAATCTGCCATTAAACACTTCCTAAAATATGACTTGATGAGGTGTTGGTTTGAGGCTGCAATGTGCTTTTCAGGAATATTCTGCTTAGTCTGCTTTCAAAAGGTTCTTATAAATTGGACCTTATAAAAGCCAGTGTTGTTAAAAAAGGACTGCAGCGTAGTGAGAGGAAATTAAACCATCCATTAAAATCACAACAGAGTGAGAAGAGTTATAAAGTGCTGGAAATTTCAAACTGGCTCTAACTTTTTTGTTTTTCTAGTTTACTTTTGCCTTTTTTGTGATTAGTATCCATCTTTATTGTCTCCACAGGTCTAAGAGAAGAGGCCATTTTCCTTTTTCATCTCCACACGTCATCACTCCGTCTCAGATCTTTCTGACTCTTGCATTTCTTTGTATTTGGGTCTCTCGGTTGAATGCGTTTCTGATTTCTGTTCCTCATTACTTCCATCTCTGCCTCTTTCTTTGTTTACCTCCTTCATCCTTGGTTTGCATCAGATGTTTTGCTTACAGACTGTGTGATTTTGTTCAGCTCACGCGTGCACCGACCCTGAGCTCAGAAATGGTTGGTTTTGTCATGATAACACTAACGGATCCAGATCTGACTCCTCTGGAGCATATGCTGTTTGTGGGACTCTGTGTTTTTTTTTTTATAAAATACTGCGGCTGTTCTCAGGACTTTGCCGACTCCGTTGGTTCATGTTTGAAAAGAGGGGCTGGTCTTTGTGGTCATACTGCAGAACCAAAATGTGGAAGGAGCCAGTGTTGATGAGGCATTCTGACAGAGTTATTTGAGGGTGTTAGAAATGGAGAGCCAGTGTTAGGCTGCAACTATTTCCTACTGGAGCCTCGTGCTGGTCACCTGCAGGATCGTGCTGCTAACAGAATCACACTGCTAACGAAACCACTCTGCTAGTGAGACCATGCTATTAACAGGATCATGCTACTGGCGGGACCACCTTACTAACAGAACCATGCTGCTAACAGGACCATGATACTGGCGGGACCACCTTGTTGACAGGACCATGCTGCTAACAGGACCATGATACTGGCGGGACCACCTT